TATATTTAAATATATTTTGTAATATATTTAGAAAAAAACGAAATAATATTACTTTATTAAATAAACAATATTATTTTTTGAAGAATTCAACTCATTTCTCTCTTGTTTGACATAAAAGTGGCTCTTCTACTCGATGTATTCTTACTTCACTTTTGTCGTTCATTGATTTCTAAAACTCTACGATATATAATATGCCAAACTCGCATTTAGATCTGCGTTTAGCAAGTGATTAAAAGGCAAAATATACGCATCGAAGTCACGAAATTACGATAGTTTGCACAAAGAATTGTGGGAGCACGTGTGTGTGTGAGTTGCGAAAGAAACTCGAACATCTCGACGAGTGTTTCGCGGACTCCGAAATTCGCGTCAGCGAGACGAGTAAAAAGGAACGGCGAGCTGTATTATATATACACACATAGAATTATAGGCGAGTAAAACGCGAACTTTCTCCCGACAGACAAACTCGCATCTACGTAGGCGTGCCATGCGGGTCCGCCGTCGCTTTTCTGAACCAAGTGTCGGCTATACACACGTCGTCGTCGTCGTCGTCCGTGAATTGGCAGCAATTGATTCCACACGATTCCTACAAGGAAGTTCGAGGTCATGCGGAAACCGCGCGATCGCTGAACCTGCGTACACTGTCGATTAGCTCGACTCGATTATCTTTAATCATATAGCCCGCGAGAAACGTGCCGCAGTTATCGCTTCCGCCTTTTTTCCTTTTGCCATCGGAAATCGACTCGCTTGTCGTGTTCTCGCGAAATAAATTGCAGTCCGCACAAGGCATATATGACTTAACTAAGGTATAGTATTTTACATATATCGCTTTCCGAGTTTGCATAAACGTGCTCGTGTATAAATGCCAATCTCGCGTGTTGTTTCCCTTTCTCATTACACGGCTCCGATCTTGAATAATTTATGAAAGTTCTCTCGTTTTGAAGCACGTGCGTTGACGGAAAATTATTTGTTTGGGTTTCGGTCAAAACAACGCGATCTCTCGATTGTCGCGCGATCTTCTGCATACAAAATTAAACGTTCAAGGTCTGTCAAAGCGGAAATAAATCTGAGTTAGGTATCTAACGACGTATCTGAAAATGTCAGAGTTAAATCCGGCGCGCGTTGATTGATGATCGACGGTGATTTCAACGCCGCCGCGCACTTTCGATCCTCTCCGCACCGGGGATTTTCAGAAAAAATGAAATTTCTCGAAATTTCTCGCACACGAAGAAGGAAGTCGGCACGCGGCGAGATGCACGCTTCGGTGCTACTGATTAATCGCAAGAGAGACCCCCGCGATTGTTTAAGAAGATTATTTCCCGTATATCTGAGAAAATAATCGCAGCCTCGTCTCTCTATCTCTTCTTTTGCGGTGCGTCGGGTTCTTCGCCAGATGGTAAATAAGATCAGCAAGCGGTAAGCCACATGTGCGGTTTTTGATCATTTCAATAGGTATAAAAAAATTAATACTCCTTTAAACGCAATTTTACGTATGCTGAACGTGAGAATATTTTATTCGTCATCGCTTTTTCTCGCTCGAATTTCGAACATTATCGCGAGAAAGATCGTGAGATGTTGCGGTCAACAAATTGACGCAACAAAATGTTCGCACCGATACACGCCACGTTGCACAACGCGATGCAAACGACCCGATTCCTCGTGTCGATTCGCATCTGTCGCGTCATCTTGCGCCGCTCGCGCAAAAGGGCACTCGCGAACTTGCGCAACGAGAAGTTACGCGCAAACGTACAATAAAACGTACGCAGCACGTAAGCAGCCTATCGTTTTTCCGCGACTGCACTTCCTCGTACAAAAAAACATAGTTTCCCCATTAATCGCGCATAGGCGCAACACGTCAAGACCACGAACGTTTGCTCGAAAACCGTGAAAACGGTATGTACCGACTTGGCATATCAACGACTCGGGAAACGGAACGGAGTGTCGTTACCTGTAAATTATCACCTGCCCGCGTGTCGGACGGAAAAACGCGATCGGAAAAAGAAACGTTTCTTTTGACACAAACGCGTATAAACTCACGAACTCTCTCGATAATATACGCGCGCGCACGTTAATTAATTCATAAATTTTTACTTTTACTAATAATTTTATTAATAATTGAGTAGAGAAGTAACTTTATATTAATTTCTGTGACTATTTTTCTTTGCAAAAAAACAGACACCTTGGCCAAGAGTCGGAACTCCCGCATTGCGCGTGCATCGTATCTCTCTTGTCACATTACTTCGCCCCCGTCTCTTCCGCACCGCAATCAAACGGAGAAGAGGAGCGGAACGTGTTCGTTCGAGACACACACACACACACACGATAATAAAAAAATCACGATCGTCGTCGAGGAGACAAATTATCGTCTTGCGAGAAAAGGTGGAGAAATGTTGAGTGAAAAAAATCACGTGTGCACATGGCGCGCGGAGTCATTACGTAGAAACTCGGCGGCGGTGCAGCAACTTTCGCGATCCGTCGCCTGCATCGCGGCGCATCATCTGCATTTCCGATGCGATGCTAGGCCGAGCATCTCCCGCATCACTTCCGCGTCCGACTCAGCGAATCTCGTTAGAGCGGAATCGCGCGCACGCCATCACCGCGATTAATGGTCGGTTGCCCCCGATGCACCTACCATTCATTTCTCGATCAATGTACTTCCACAAGAACGTTTAAATATAGTTGAACAAAATAATTGATAATAAATGTTTTTACGTGATTAAATTTAATTTAAACGATTAAAAGCAAACGTGAAAAATTATGTAAATTATTCAGGAAACTTGGCATCTTCATCCTTTAATTGCTTTTATCTTTCAATATTGCTATTTGGATGCAATTTGTTTTATTACGATTAATCTCGATTCAGAATCACTTTGCTTTGCTAATGCAAAGCAAGTTTCTCACAGACTAATTGCCAATTAATTGCGGGGGATGAGATAATTTGCTGTTTCCGGGAGATTTATATCGTCCTTAAAGACGCGAGATATGCGGCAAAATATTGCAACGCGGTAATAAAGCTGTGTAAACCTCGTCTCCGCTAATTGCCAGCGACATCAGCATTAAGCGTTTGTATTAGAATTATATACGCTATTATAAATTATACGGGGCGTAGCGGAGAAGTCGCTTGCTTCTGTTAAATAAACCGCGACCGGTCGGGACTAGGAAAGCGAGACGATCGCTCAATTTTCCGAGACATTCATCATCGAAGCGCGCCGCAAGTAGATGTCACGACATTGAATTTTCGCCGTGAATCGCGCGCGAGTCGCAAAGGTGAAATTGACGGGACGATCGCGCGGCGATTTATCGAAGAGACTGGAAGATGTTGAGGAAAATTATGACTTACACACACACAGAGACATACACACGTTGATGGCCCCTTGAACTAGAAAGTAATTAATCCGACGAGAGCTCGTTTGCGCTTAATTGCACCTCTACACGATAGAGAAATCTTCCGTATCAAAATCGAAAGATTTATTTACATAAGATTTTTGTCTCACATTTAATGTGATGTAAAAATGCGTTTTAGAACACAAATGTATTTTGTTTAGCGATCGTTCATCAAAAAGTTCCGATTTACTCAAGTTTGTGAGAAAAAATCTGAACGCTACAAAATATTTTTTCAATTTTTCAGATTTGTCTTCCGTTTTTTGATGTTAAAGAATTTTTAAAGTGACGCAAAGAATCACAACAAAACCTATAATGGAACCATTCAAGAAACCGTTCTGGCGAACGCAACGGGAGAAAAAAGATATGCCGTTCTTTTTAGAATTCATAAATCAGCGACGGTGTTTTCTTGCACGATTTTCAAGTAAATCGTGCTAGGTGAACCGTCGGTTGCTTTTATGTTTGGTTG